GACCTCATTTTCTCTGAATTATGCCACGAGGGATTTCACAAACACTTCATCGAGATCCCGAAGTATGAACTCTTTTCTTGGGGCTTTCAAACTTGATAAGGGAACTTTTTGAGGCCCTGTATAGAAAATTAATTAATTTAACGATGCATTATTTCTTCTTTAGGAAACCAATGCTGGCTTCTGCACTATAAAAACTTATCGAAATTTTAATAACGAGGGACAGCTTGAAATCTTGAAAGGGAATCAACAATTTACCGCCAAAAAAAAAACGTTTACAACAATAATTACTCACGCAGCGATATGGCGTAGCATTGCTGTGACGACTCCAGTACAGTCTCATCTCCTTTGTCACCTAAAATTGCAGAAGCACCGGTTACTGCTTGAACACTGGCACCTGAGTTTTCGTTAGAAGAGGCAAATGCCGTAATCAACGAGGTGTCATTACTAGGAGCAGACAATTCTTTCAGTTGTGCTTTTGGCTTGATTTTCCTCGCGTCCACTGGTTGAGGAACTATTCACCTCACTATTCACGGGTCGTTTGCCATAACATGAAGTGAAGAATTCCACATTCAGCAACGTTTCTACTTGTTCTCCAAATTTTGAAATGTCCGCAATATCTCGGTACAATTGTTTATTGAGGTCGTCAATAGGATTTAAGAACGAGACGTCCAGAAGAAGACTTTTTTCCGAGCTGTATTTCACCTGAGAAACAATGAATGGAGTGTGAAATATCATAAAACCATTTTACCACGTCTTTTAGGAAATACGTTGATGTGAAAAGTACATTCGATTAAAAATGCGGCATCGCCGCTTCATCCAAAGACAATAGATCTATTCTTGGTTTTCACGTGACGTCACAGCATGACGTTGCTTGCCAAACTAAATGAGAGCAAGTTCAAACCTGTTGCCTTAAGCTTGATTGAACCCTATTCTGAACAGTTTATCATGAAAAGTAGAAGTATCCCAACCATTTCTGACCTTTTTGACCCATGTAATTTTGACTTGTCATATCCAGAACTCCTAGAAAAGTGTGAAAATATTGATCTGACTATTTCAGAATCACAGGTAGAATTAATTGAGCAAGACACCAGGGAACAGGCTAAAGGAAATGCATTTTTCAGTTACAGAGCTGGGCACATTGGTGCATATCTGAGTTGGGCAGTAGCTCATACTAACCCTGCTATGCCATCACAATCCTTAATCAAGTCCATCTCATATCCTGATCTGTTCAAAGTTACTACTAAAGCAATCAGTCATGGCCGTAAGAATGAGAGTGCTGCAGTGAATGCTTATACCAAGACTATGCTAGAGACTCACAGAGATCTGAAAGTTGAACAATGTGGTATGATAGTGGATAAACAGCACCCCTGGATAAATGCTACTCCAGATTTTTTGGTATCATGTTCATGCTGTGGGAATGGTTGTGGAGAAGTCAAATGCCCTTACAACATTGAAAACTGTGACCTTGAAAGTTATGTGGAAAAGAAGAATTCATGTCTTGAAAAGGTCAATGGAATGGTACAGCTCAAGAGAAATCACCAGTACTTTTTTCAAGTACAGCAACAGTTGTTTATCACAGACTCTCAGTATTGTGACTTTGTTGTGTGCTCTTTTGACAATAAGAATCAAACAAGGTTTTTCTTGGAGAGAATTTACAAGGACATCTCACACTGGGGATCAGTTCTTCCAAAACTCACCAAAGTGTGGAGATCTTGTATCCTACCTGAAATCTTAGGAAGATGGTACACCGGGAAGCATAAAATTGCTGCACCTTTTTGAAATTATGTTTTGCAAACAATTATGTTTGACATCCCAAGAATGAGACCACATTTACTTGAATGTTTGAGAGCTGGTGAAATCAAAGTTTTTCCACATTTTTGAGTACATTTTACACTAAACAATTTTGTTTTGTTGTTTCATGCTAGTCTCAAGAGTAGCAGTCATTAAAAAAAAAATCCAAGAAGAATAATGAACTCAAGCTATTTTATGCAGCTGTGCTCAATAAACAGTCCTTACTGCCCCCTGCAAACATAATTTATATTTTAATTCATATAATTTCTGTAAATATATGTAATATCACAGCACAAAGAAAATGTTGTTGTCATTGTTGTTGATCCTTCTTGTAATGGAAGTTTATTTTTTAAATTATTGATCTTACACAGTGCTCATTCCCAGTCACTTGCTCTCTTTTCATGGGGTTATAATATTTCTTAAATTATGCACAGACTCTCCACCCCATCATATCATTTCATTAGCTACAATATATGACTATAATAGTACTGTATGAAGTATGGAGCTAATCAAATGGTACAATGGGTGGACACAGGTTTACAAGAGCTGAACATACTTTAATAATTCTGTCAATAATTGGTACTTCATCCTGTCCATTGTCATTGTTCAAGAAATCAGTGGGAAGAGTGCTTTGAAGAATGGTATACTTGCGACGCAGCAAACCAATCACCCTTTCAACATGTATCCATACACTTGCTAGAGCTCTTGTTTTTTCCACATCAATAGGATCCAGCTGCTCCCTCCCTTTCGTGTAGGCTGGTATCACGAGTCTTGCCTGTTTGAGAGCAACACTTTCTGTGATTGTGAAACCCCGGTCTGCCATAACCATGTCACCCGGCAAAAGTTTTTTAAGAATGCCGCAGTTTTCTGTCAAGAACTTATCAGAGGTACGTCCTCCCCATGCCTCTGACACAAAGGAAATAGCTCCTTGGGGAGAAATACCAATCGGTACTTTGATAGTATTGTGATGCTTGTAGGATGAAAATGTCTGAGCTCGAGCTAACAAGTTTGTAGGCTTATCAATAAAAATCTCAAAACAGTCAATAACAACAGTGACTTTGGTTCCAAAGGCTTGTAGGAAACAAAGAGGCATTGTCTTCCATAGCTGGTGTCTTTCAGGCCAGTAAATAAGTGGGGACAAATGCTGATCCATCACTGGTAACCATGATGAAAATATTCTTGATATTGTTGTCACAGATACTTGAAAAGGATAGGCTAAGTCTTGATAAGGCATATTCAGTCTCGGTTTCATCAGCACGATAATCATTTCCTGGAAAAGGCTAAGTGTTTGGGTCCTTCGTTTGATGTGGGGTGACACAAAGTCAAGGACAGTCATTAAGATATCCATTGAAGGCAGTCCAGAATAAAAGCGAACTTTTTCATCAGAATCAAAAAAATCTCGATCAATTGGCTTATATGATTCTTTGAAAAAGGTATTCGAACTCTTCGGTTTGAGTCATAGCTTCAGATACATCAACTTGGGTTTGAGTTGAACTGTCAACGAGAGTTGAGCAAGTGTGGTCTTGAAATGCGCAATCGTGATCAAAAATATCCTCAGAAGAATCAATTTCCTTGGAAGATCCTTCTTTAGGATCACTAAAAATCCATATCACGGACGGGAAGGCCACTGACATCGATTTTCTTTCGTTTCTCAGCTGCTTCGCGTTCTTGACGTTCGAGCGATCTTTTGCGGCGTTCCTTCGCTCGTTTAGCTCTTGCCTCTTTAATGTCGTGGTTTTCCTGTTGATATTTTGTCTTCCCGAGATTCATAGTAGGAACACACTGGGGATTTTTGGTGTGAATTTGTCCTATCACCAGATTGAGGCTGCCTGCTATGCCGCCCGGCTGGATAACATGAGAGCGAGGTTGACCAAAGATGGCCGCCAGAGAATTAAATATCGAGATAATAAGAGGTCTTTCTGACGAGATTGGAAGTTTCTACGAAAAAACCGAGTCCAAATATTGGACGTCCTTGCCATCTGAAGCGGTTTCTGAGAAGCTTGCGGTCCAGGATTTGTTTAAAGAGTTGAACCGATTGAAAGAAGATTCCTTAAAGTCCTACTCACGGAGATCTGATCGAGATAAACTAACAGTGTCTTCCTGTAATTTGGACGACATGGCCTGCCGCGAGCTTGACAACTGGAAAAGGTCTATTATTAGAAGGGAATTTTTGTGGCCAAACATTCCAATCCATGGATTGTAGAATTCAGTTACAGACTTCATAAGGAGATATTCGATCATTTAGTGGAAATCCTCACTTGCACATCTATGTATGGAGTAAACATCCAAAATCATCTAAAGAGAAACGGCGAAGTAAAAGAAAAAGTCATTAAAGTATCTCACAAAAGAAAGCTGGAGCGATGGTTTTCAGAGGGACAAATGACTGGAGAGGTGGGGTTTAAAAGAAGCATTAAAGGCAAGGGACACACTGATCTTCTTGTGGATGCCAATAGGCCTTTCCAGCTTAAGTACATTTACTCCACAGAAATGGTTCAAATTAAGTGTCATTATGGTGTCTGGAATGAAGAAGGAGTTCCTCAGTTTATTTGAAATCGATGAACGTTCTGTAGCTTCTTTTAGTTCCTGTTGTGTTTAACAAAGATTATATTGGTTGCCTGTGGCACATTCCAGTTGTTTTTTTGTTTTGTTTTCATGCCTGTATCAAGTTGCAAGACAATTTTGTTATACCAGGGTCTGTGCTGTATATAATATTAACATTATTTGCTTATCTGTTGTGTTAAAAATATCCATACTTACCCCAGGAAGGTGATTAGAAATTATGACAAGAGGTGAGAAAAATATTGGAATTTCCAGAGACACAGACAGGGTTCATACTAAGACCTTCCATGACAGACACTGTATGGATCGTTAGGGAAGAACACAAAGAGATATTTTTCTGCTTCAGATTTCAACATTTATCCCATAAATATTATAAAGAAATTGTAATTATTTGATTAGAGTAGGCCACTTTTGATATATAAAATTCAGCTTGACAGTGAGGACTAGAAGACACAAACAAAAAAAAACAGTACAAACAAACATGATTGTTCAATTCCCTTTGTGTCCTTTAAGCCTCACTGCCAAGCTGAATTTAATATATCGAAGGGGTCTACTGCAATGGCCAATTTGTGTATTTTGTGATCAAGAGTAGATGTAACTTTTCTTTTAGGGGTATGTACATGTATAACACAAAATAATAGCACTTATGGTCCATGTGGAATGTAATTTTAATGAACTAACAAGAACATTATAACCTTAAACACCAAAACATTACAGCTTTTGTTATAAATGAACTCTCCTCAGAAAAACATCTTACTATCTCAATATTTAATTGTCTAGCCACCACCTTTGAACACCCTTAATCTGATGTTATCCAGCCAAGCTTCACAGAAACTTTTCATTTTTGAGCTTCAGCAAGAATTTGTTTCATCTTTACTGTTAGTTTCCCTGCTGAACCACAAGCAATAATTTCTTTTGAAATTTCACATGAGCAGTACATGCATGCACTTGCAGTGCTTAAAGGCATACCACATGAACAATATCCTGCAGTGCTGCACCGCTTTGGCACATATGTGTCTTTACATTTCTTATAGGTATCATGAAATGGATTCTGTTGCCTTATCCAAATGTTGGACATGTGCTCATGTCTAAACACTTTAGCCCATCTGTGTTTTACAAGGGAAAAACTAGCAAACGAAGCAAGTTGCTGGTGTTTAGACTCTCTTCCCTGCATTGAATTAATTCCTAAACCCACACCAAGATCTTCAAAAAGCTGTTTAGTATGAAATGGCACACAGTAGCCCATTGCCCAAACACTGAGATTTGCAGAGTGAAATAATGATGTTAGATTAAAATATTGTGTGCAATCCTGCTCTAACTTTGGTAGATCACTGTAACTAATATTGGAGACCCTACTAGCAAGGGACAAGCTGTTCCTTAGGTGAAGACCCATTCTCCCAAGAGATAACACAAAAAAGCTCTTGGCTTGCTCAATGTCACCCTCCTCAATTTGAGCTTCAACAAGATACATAAAGCCATCACAAAATTTCTTAGTTTCCTCCCCAGTGAACCGAAATTCAAAAGGAGATGTCTTTCGTTTCTCTTTAAACCATTGCAAAATCTTATTATACATCTTCTTGCACTTTAATTTAAACCGGAGAGCCTTCAAATGCTTACGCAATGAGTTATCTTCTGGCAATTGAAAAACAGACTTTGTACTGGTGGGAATCTTTGCTTTAGCCAAAACATGGGTGAAAAGCAACTTATGCCAATGCCCCCAACAATTATTTCCCACATGAAGATTATCACATTTTGCATTTTGAATAACTGGACCAAGAATTGGCTCAAATTCTTGTCTAGATTTAAGGCTTGCTATGTGGTTGCATACTTTGGTACGCAATGTCTGCTCTTGAGCAGCATTAATTGGCCTTGCCTGTTTTTCTTTAAATTGTGTCACCTTTTTGGCAACTTCTTCCCTGAATTTATATTCCCATGGCCTCCACTTACTTTGAGGATTGTTACTCAAGCTTTGCCCTCTTTCCTGTAATTCACTAAGTTGCACATTTGCAAAAGAACATGGGTATTTAGCAGCATTGCTCAGTTCTCCAGAAAATTTTGCTAGCCACTTCATATCTGATGGAACAAGTTTAAATTCAAACTTAACCTGCTGATTTTTTACTGAAAAAGTTTGACTTGCAATCGTGGCCATCTCTGATCTAAGTTGTTTCCCATATTCTACCATGGCAGGGTGATCTTCTTTACAGTTGGCACCACAAATCAAAAAATTATCATCTGGTGAGGCAACTCTTTCTGAAACATTCAAAAATGAAACAAGCCATGCACAAGCCTCATTAGCCTTACCAAAAGGGGCACCATCTGCACCCATTGCTACTAAAAAATGACCCTTCTGTTTACCAAACCATGTAAGAAAATTAGGTATATGGCTATCTATGTGAAGGTAGAGGTCTGCCATTTGGAGTAAACGCTCTTTAAGGTCAATATAATACCCAGGGATCACTGGCAGTAAGTTGCCATCAACTTCTTCGTTTTCCTTTTCTACGTCACTCTCAGCAGTAGCCTGCGGTATGCTATGAAGTTTTCCAATATCTTGTACCTCTATAAATTTCATCAGCTCCTTGTAAGGTACAAGTGCAGGTAATCTACAACCCTCTTTAAACTCTGTGCGCTTTCGCTTCTTTGTTGGGATGTCATAATCAAAGACTTCTGAAGATCTTATATTACAATATTTTCTCTTACTAAGAATTCCACCCCTGTATAGCACACTTACAGACCTGAGAAAATTTGTTGAGGACTTTTCAAATTTAGCTACAGATTTAGCCACAATCTGTGGGACAACTGTTTTACAAACAGTTTTTGACTTTTTCAGTACATCAATGACTACTTTAGTTTTACAGTTTTTAACCAAGGTGCTCCAAAGTCCATTGGCAGTTGCACATTGACCTTCAGGTTCTGTACTTGGCGTAGAGTGAACTTTCTTGGCACAATCATACGTAAGCTTTCTTCTCTTAGCTGAAATGTTGTGTGACAAACCAACACACTTGTCACTGTTGTTTTCATCTAGAGTGGTCGGTGTTACAACATGTTGTCCTCTTGGCAGGTGCACTATTTCATTTTCTAATAACCCTCGCTATAGAGAGAGGAAAAAAGCAAGAGGTGAAAATGTGATTTTAAAATTGTAAACACTAAAATAATAAATTGATTATGTCATTTAAAACACCAAAATACTGATTTGCTATAATTATGGCTCTGCACAAATTTTGTGCACAAGTGCATTGCTACATGTAGTTTGTTTTTATTACAAAATCGATCTCTAAGAAATTACTCATAAATATTTTGAAAACAAATTTGTTCACCATCTTATTCATTAATCATGATATTTATCAGCATGCAATATCATATTTGTAAAACAAATAATTGAACAGGTGGCTCCCTAAAACTATTTTACACTTCTAATCTTGATATTTTGCATTTTAAATCGAAAAGTCTCCTTCGATGAAAATAATCTGAGTATCAGTAGGTAATCACAAAACCAAAGATCGATTATTTTCACAACATTACGTACCTTTCTCTTTAGCTCTGTAATTTTTCCCTCCAAGTCTTGAATAGACTTATTCGCTTCATAAAACCTGTCGTTTCTCCTTCCTTTGCCGTGCCCACTCTCCAATGGGAAAACGTGAGGTCCCCGACATCTCGCCGGTGTAACTTTGGTAAAACAAGAACAATGTCAGCCAAATTTTCCGTGTAAATAGTCAATACAACAGGCTAAAATCCTATCGATTTCATTTAGCGTAAATCAACACTAAAAGCGGTAAAATTAACCTCAAACACAGCCAAAAATCTCCAAAAAGTCATACTAATCATCTTCTACTTTTAGATAAAGAGAAAAAATCGAACACGTCTCTAAAATAGTCGAATTTGGTATCAAATTAAAGCTTACCTTGTTGTTTTGCAAATGGCGGACAACACAAACCTGGTGGGAGTCACATGTAGGTACCAGATCTCTTCAAAGTCCAGTGTTGAATGGTCCTGTGCGCTACCCACAAATCTTTGCGCGCGTGACCAAAAACAGGTGGGGTGGTCAAAAAAATGTCAAAAATCCCCAGTGTGAACCCAGTCGACATTGTACTTATCCCAGGGTTTTGCAGATTGCCCTGACACGAAATATCGTCCACAGACTCTTTCATTACTGAGGACATCCTTCGAAGTGATGTCGTCGCGGCTAATGGCGGCGATCCATCTTTCTTTTCGTTCTCTGCTAAGCTCTTCTGCCTTTTCTCCTTAGTTAGTGACTACTACTGGAATCCTATAAAACCCTATACCTTTCGTCTTTTCACTATTATGAAAACAATCAACCATAATACAATGAACCATGATGAAAAATATTTCTAAAGTTTTGATAACACGCGAAATGTTTGAATTATACGACACCAATATGGCGGCGTAGCAACCGTTGTCAAGGTATAGGTCACGTGGGTGAAAACCAAGAGTTAGCAGAAGGAGTCGGAAAGCGGAACTTTCCGGCGGTACTTTTGGAATGTGTTAGCAGAATAATTGCTATTGTGCCTGCATTGCAAAACGCTTCAGATTTGCATGGGAAATGTCATGTAAGCCACCAAAACTAAGGCAAAGTTGTTTTCTTTAAATACGTTATGTAGGTAGTAAAAAATAAAGAGTGCATGGTCAGAGTAAGATTAAAAAAAAAAGCCAAAAGCTGGGAAATCCATTGTCATAGACAGGCCAGCTAAACTCAGTGCGGACTTTTTTGGAAGCCAAACTAAATACTTTCAGAATACAAACTAACCATACCTGAATACGGCTAATCTAAGAGGTGAGAACAATTTTCTTTTCCTCAAACTTATTTTTCAACCGTATGGCAAAAAATGATCTTTCACTCGTGCAAACTCAAGTGATCTTTCTTGCGAGAAAAATACTCTTTCCTTCTAACTGAAGCTTAAAATGTTCAGAGCTCAAAATGTACCTTGAGTTTCCTTAGATCTCCACCTGCGGGCTTCATCTGAACAACAGACCCAGGATCAGTGCCGCCCTGTGATAGAATAGGTGATTTATTATGGTGATGCAGCGTGCGTACCTCTCCGTTTTCTACTTTTGCAAAGTACCACTTTCTACCGGAATGATGGCGCTTATCCCTTTTTCCATCTTTCGAATGAGGTAGTGAGGAACCTTTACCACGTGTTGTTGCCATTGCTTTTCACTACTGAATTGGTTGAGCTTCACTTTTCAAATAGCTGTGTTGTAGATTTCTCCAATGCGTTAAGGAAAATCTATGCGGAGCGCTGCTTCGACAATCAATAAGACTGTATCTCTCCGATTTCTTGCAGTTATCCGAACTTTCTACCTTCTATTTATCTGCTATTACAACGGAAATACACGTCTAAACTACTTGTATAACGAAGATTGACATAACTAATTTTTGGTTTACTAAAATCCCAAGCTATTTCCTGAGAACTTGATTTTAACAGCTGTTTCCCATTATACTCTGATAACACTTCTGTAATTTACACCCGCACGCACGCCCTGTTTGCAGCACGAATGACACATCATGCAACATCTTGGGATGGTCCAACCCAAACGCGCACGCACAAATTTCCATAGATAATTCTACGGTGGCCCACAACTGTCACGGCAAAACAAAAAGTCACGGCAAAACAAAATTAACTCACGGCATAACAAAGAAAATGAGTTGGTCAGCGGTTGTTATTTGCATCTGAAATGATAGGTCGTGTAACAATAACACACTGCTCGCTCGAAAACCGCCATTTTTCGAGCTCACGATGTTTTGCATCGCGTGTGGTTCGGAAGTTGATGAAGATGCAAATTTTTGTAAAAGCTGTGGTAGAGGTACGTTTCTTAATTTAAAGTGTTCGTATTTGAATGTCTTTTAGTTCCAAATAACGATAGGCGTGAGAAGACACTGCTACAAATTAGCACATTAGCACGTGTCTGGAATAAGATTGTGCATGTAGCCTGTGTGTAGGAAGACAAAATTTATAATGTATGTGCCTTGATGAATTAAGGATTTTTCAACAGGTGGAAAATACTGTACGCCTGCAAACAGTCAGAGAGCGCGAAGGTAAAGACCAAAACATTCCTGATTATTTCCAAAATCATTTATCTAAAATTAATAACTTTATTCACAATTCAAGATTATTTACAAAATACAACTGATAAAATTAATATATGAAATTTCATATAAATTCAAAATCATGTATAATACAAAAGCATTTAGCTTGAAAATTGCCCAAAAAAAAAACAGAAAAAAAAAAACCTCTAGATGCCCGCGGTGGCGACGTTTATTTTGCAGTCTAAGGAGTGTTCTATCTTATTGTCAAAAGGCGTTCTTGAACCTCTCACGCATGCGTGTACCAATCTTAGAAATTCGAACGAGATTTGTGTCCTGAGCCATGCGATATCGGTGTTATACGGCTCGGTGTCCTTCTGAGCTATCTTATCTGCAAGATGCTTCTGGAAACGCTGAAACTCATTTCCCATTCCGCCATTGGTTCCAGACACTAAAGGTGTGAATGAACCAATCTCTACATCTAGTACCCGCTGCTGGTACTTGCGTTTCTTCTCGCCCTCTTGCTCCTTGAATACTTCAGATGTTGTCTTGTTCTGGTAACACTTGGAGTTAACGTGCGTAACTCTTACATCGAAAAATGCCGTAATTCCTCTTGACCAGAAACCTCCCGCCTTGATGTCTAATCTTACCTCAGAGCTTGTGACAGCACCTCTCAAATGTAGCCGTTCGTTGTCGAGGGATTGAAGGCGTGGTTCAATTTCCACATTGTTGCAGACTTTATTGATGAATGCCGTTAATAAATCACGGACACCATCATGTCTCTACAAAGCCCCCCTTTTTACATGAGAGGGCATGGCCTACAGTAAATTTATCCCCACACACATAGACTTTGTAGATTGACTAGAGGCAAATTATACCGTAAGCGTAGCGAGTCTCTAAACTCCTGTTTATTAAGGGCTAAGCCCTGATCTGCGAAAGGCATCGCATTTAACCAAGAACTTGCGCCCTTGTCTCTCAATTGATTAACTAGTCGCAGCAGATCTAGGGATAGAGTTGAATCAATGCTTTCCAATTTCTCTTTGTCACGCGCCATCTTAAGTTGCCGATGATGTCTCTTAAGCTCCTCCGTAGAGCTTTCGCCTGGCGCCATAAATGTTCTCTGCGATGTGATAGAATCCACGTGCGCAGTAGTTATTGACTTCGAGGCAGCAAACTGTTGTGGCGCCTTAGCTCTCAAATTTGGCATGCCCAGATCCCCTTGAGCTGCTTGTAAGGTGACAAGTAGACGCACCCCGTTAGGGAGAGGCTCTGATTGACCGAACAAAGTTGGAAGAAGTAGGTGGTTAATCGCCTCCTGGATTGGATCGACTTACTAAAACCGCGTTGAAAAAACTTCATTGCTAGAGTCTTCTTCCTCACTTGAATCTTCTAACCTTAGGTCTAAAACGTCAACGTACAAAAATGTAGAGATGAACACAGGCCACTTTTTCTACCTCTTAACATGTACAATACCACACAATACAGCACAAAGAGAATCAAAGAGAAAAAATATAATTGACTGACTGTTTGCAGGCGTACATTATTTTCCACCTGTTGAAAAATCCTTAATTCATCAAGGCACATACATTATGAATGTTTTCTTTTTACACACAGGCTACATGCACAATCTTATTCCATTTGCTTTTCTTTCTCTGCCTTTTCACAGCACAGTTAAAAAAGGTTTGGTCTCTAGCACTTGCTCTTTGTCTCACAAACTCTTCAAATGTCAAACTGTCAGAGCTGCTAACAGAAGATGTACTGGGTCCAGCTGCAGAGGAGTACCGAGTACCACATGAACCACAAAACAAAGAGGCTGTTCCAATATTTGCAGCACCGCAAACTGAACAAAACATCTTAAAAAAAAATGTTCGTAATTAGGGTTATGAAAACTTTTTCTGAGGTACCATAATTTATTTCCCTGTGCAAATTTACAATTTTCTATACCACCTCTTAAACAGATTAAACTGTAATTCAGGCTACGTTCACACGGTGCTAGACGAATTTTCGACCGGCCGAAAATTTGTGCGTTTAGGCGTTTCGTTCACATGGAAGCACGCCAAACGTACGAAAATTTGGACGTTCAAGCGTTCAAAAATTTGAACGCCAAAATTGAGGACGAATTTTTAGCCGGTGCAGTCAATTATTTGACCACCGCGGTGTGACCACCTTTCACGTCCGAATTTTTGTACGGCGTAGGCGCGGCTGCATGGATGCGTGGTAACTAAGTTAAATAATATGTTTACAATTTTATACGAAGATGGAACGGGTTGGTTTATTGGTTGCGGTGCTCGGTAATATTACAGCTTTGGTACATAATATCATCTTACAAATGTTTAGGACATGCCGAGCTTACCACGCACGTAGGCGACGTTGTGACGGTAAAAAATCTCTGAAAATCTCTGAAAATCTCTGAAAATCTCTGAGGCAAATAGTGCAATAACAAGGTAAGCCTATCCATGTATTTCTGCCTAGTGAGCAGGCAAACTGGCAGTGCATAAAATAAACACAACTCAACTTTGTTAACAGAGTGCTAAAACAGTGCACAATCCAACAGTTATAGTAGACACGATGTGAATGTTAATGTTCAACACTTATTAAAATGAGAAGGATCCTGTAAATGCCAAACACCTGACATGTTGCTTTGCTGTTGCTGATATTGGGGATGGTTGTACTGCAGATGCTGGTTCTGCTGATGATTCTGATGCATCATCATCCCCAGCATGTTGAATCCATTCTGCAATGTGGAGCTTAAAGAATGTAAACTAGCGGTAAAACCATGTATTTTTCTTCTTACTTTTCAAGCTTATCGATCATTCTCTTTTTCAACTGAATTTCTTCGTGTCCAAGGGCTAACATTCTGTTTTCTGTTGTGGTTTTCTTCGTAAGCTTGAATTTTTTTTTCTCTTTTAGCTTAGAAATTAAGTTTCTACTTGCATCAACTTTGTGGTTAGTTGCGTCACGATAGACACACCCTCTTTGTGTTGGCGTTGTTGTTTCCAATTTTA